TTGAGGTATGACACCGCTCTACTAAAGGCGACAAAGTGAAACTCTGTCTCCAAAAACAACCCAAAAACAAAACCTGGGCCCTGCACACACCAGGCACCCCCATCCCATGCCAGGTTCTAGATGTGAAGTGTTCACAAAGATCCAGGCTGAAATAGGTGTTTCCTCCCCCCCATTGAATGACGGTGGACTCAGGCCATAGAGCAGGGCAAGGTCTCCAGGCCCTAACAGGTGGATCCTAGATCCAGAGTCAACTCCACCAACATATCACGTGCCCTCAGGCTCCTGGGATAGGATCTTGGAATCCTAAGTACCTGTCACTTGTTGCTGCTGCTGCCGCTGGGACACTCAGTCTAAGGAGTCTTAAACCCTGGGACTCCGAGGAGGAACTTTGAGCAGGTAGGTCCAGAAAGGGGGGAGGCTCCTGGGGAAGTGAGAATGTGGTTGAAGTAGTGACATTAGGGGCAGGAGAGATACAGGAAGGGTCCAGGAAGACAGTGGCATGGGAAGGACTGCCCAAGGGACTCCTGCAGGGTGTATTTGGAGAGGGTTTCTGGGTTTTGCGCCATAGAGAGTGAAGGGCAGGTGTCTATATTGCACCTGTAGGGACCTGTCCTGAATTCCTGGGGTTTCCAGGGTCCCAAGCCCTGCCTAAGGACCTCACAGGTATGTCTGAACCCAACTCTGAGCAGCCCCCATCACTGTAACTTCCTTCTTCCCCTGTGACAGCTATGGCCAGGCCAAGAAGCCCCCAAAGACTGTGTGATGGACAAGAGGATGGACGCCACCTTGGGCTACATGGACCTGGTAGGACCCAGGCAACTAACAACCCATTTCCAAGATTCCCAAGGATAGCCCCTGCCCCTCCACAGCCCTCTGCCTCAGGCTGTGGGATCCTGTCTCTTTCCTCTAGTGACCAAACATCCCATTATTCAATTGGACCCCTCAAGACCTGCTGTCTGTTACCTTAACCCCTGAACTTAGAAGCTCTAAGTTCTAAACCCCAGCCCCAAATCTCATTTCAACCTTAATGACTGACCTATGAAATCAGGGGTCTCCAAGCTAGAGAAGAGTTCTCCCAGGGCCCCACAATGCCAAAACCTAGGTACCTGCCTTCCCAGACCCAAGAGACAGCAGAGGCATTTGGTGGTCAGGGGCTGCTGGTCTGTGTGTTTGTGTGGCTAGACCACAAGTTTGGGGCAGTGCTTGGTATCATGCTTGTTGAGGTGTTCAGGACATCAAGACCTGGTAAACATCAAACACACACACACACATACCACAGTCAAGTTATGGACAGAATTATGTTCCTTGAAAATTCATATGTAGAAGCCCTAACCCCCAATGTGATTTTACTTAGACATAGGACCTTTAAGGATATAATTAAATGAAGTCATAAGGCCCGGGCCCTGATCTGATAAGACGGATGTTTGTTTATAAGAGGAAGGGACATCAGAGACCTCTCTCTGCAGCCACGCTGAGCAAAGGCCATATGATATCATAGTGAGAAGATGATCAGCTATGAGCCAAGAATAGAGCCCTCACCAGAAAACAAATTTTCCAGTACCTTGATCTTAAGACTTTGTTATGGAATAAATATTTATGTCACCCCGAAATTCATACGTCACAGCTCTAACACCCAGTGTAATGGTATTAGAAAGTGGATACTTTGGGAGGTAATTAGATTCAAATTAGGTGCAGAGATTGGAAGCCCCCTGATGGGATTATGAAAAGGAAGAGACTGGTGCTCCTGCCCTCCTCACCATGTAAGGAGACAAGAAGGGAGCTGCCTGCCAGCCAGGAAGGGGGCCCTCACTCGGAGCTGAATCTGCTGGCACCCTGATCTCAGACTTCCAGACTCCTGAATTATAGAAACAAATTTCTGTTGCCTAAGCCATCCACTCTGTGATCTTTGTTATGGAGTCCGAGCTGAAAATACAAACACCCAAACCAGAGCCCCCTTTTCAGTCTCAGACCCAGCTTTAAGAAATGTTGGCCACAGCAGTTATTCCTTCAGGTAACAACTAATCAGTGAGTGTCTCTGTACCAGGTATTATTCTAGGCCTAGAGATCACTCATCAAACACCTGCTCCCTGGTGCTAACAATCTGTTAAGACAAACCAAAAATAAAAACATAAACACAGGAGTAGATTAGATGGGTGTGTTCTGGTAATCTATTGCTGAATAACGAATAATCTTAAAACAACAAACTTTTTATTATCTCTCATTCCATGGGTTGACTGGGCTCAGCTGAGCAGCTTTTCTGCTCTATGTGACATAGACTGGGGAAGCAGTCATCTGGAGCCTCACTGGCCCTAGACATTCAAGCAGGCTCCCTTCCAGGACAGCAGTTGGTGCTGGTTGTGGGCTGGGTGGCCTGAGTTCTCCTCCACCTGCTGCTCCACATGGCCTTGCTGCTCCAGGCTCTGCACCTGGTATTTTGAGGGTCTATTTCAAGCAGCCAAGTCAAAGCTACAGGCACCTTCTGTGCCTTCCCACTGCACCTTCTGCCCCAGGCTCTGTCCACTCTCTCCTCTTCTACTCACAGGAGTACCAGCTCATTTCCCACTGAGGAGCCGGCTCTATGGAAGAGTCTGAGCTCTGTGCCAGGGCTGGGAGAAGGAAAAGGGTCCTAGGCCAGGGGCTGAGGAGGGAGAAGGGGCACAGCCAGAATGAAAATTGGAGGGTTGAGGGAGATGATGGAGGCAGATGTTTTCACATCACCATTTTTCTCTCATAATACAAGGGAGCCATCTTTCGCCAGGCCCAAGGACATGGACAGTGCAGCAGGAACAGCAAAATATTCCACATGAAACAAAAATATAAGTGATTCATCCTGCCGCTGTCTTTTTCCTCATTTTTATTCTGGCCAATTTTATAAGTAAAATTGGGACAAATCTTCCTTATAGAAGAATGTCAGAAGATATATGAAGAAAATCCCCCTTCCAGGAGATGGAGCTTAATATCTCCAGCCTTAGATGTGGGCTGGACTTGCTAACTTACTTCCAAAGAATAGAGTATGAAAAGGGAAAAATAATAATCTTACAGAGGTGAAAATGAGGCATGACACCACCTTCACCAAGTGATCAAACTCATATTGATATCATGCACTGAAATGATGTGACAAGAAGGGCACTTCACCTCTATGGTGTTCTCCCTCTGACCTCATTATCCCAATCTAATCATTAGAAAACATCAGACAGGGCAGCGCCTATGGCTCAAAGGAGTAGGGCACCAGCCCCATATACAGGAGGTGTAGTTCAAACCCAGCCCTGGCCAAAAAAAAAAAAAGAAAGAAAGAAAGAAAACATCATACAAACCCAAATTGAGTGACATTCCAGAAATTACCCAGTACTCTTCAAAACTTTCCAAATCATGAAAACAGGTAAAGATTTTTTTTACTTGTAAAAAAAAGAAAATCAATTAATGTAATCTATTATACAACAGGCTAAAGAAGAAAAATCACACCATGGGATCCACAGATGCAGAAAAAGTATTTGACAACATCCAACATCCATTTGGGATGACTTAAAGAAAAAACTCTCAGCAAGCTAAGAATAGAGGCAAACTCACTTACCTTGATAAAGAAAACCTATAAAAAGAAATCCCCCAGCTGGTGGAGCCTGTGGCTTAGTGGGAAGGGCGCTGGCCCCATATACCAAGGGTGGTGACAAAGTGAAACTGTCTCAAAAAAAAAAAAAAAATCCCCCAGCTAACATCATACTTCCTGGTGAGAAATTAGAATCTTCATGCTAAGATCAGGAACAAGGCAAGAGTGACCCTCTCACCACTCTTTTTTTCAACATTGTACTGGAAGTCTTAGCTAATGCAGTAAGACAAGAAAAGAAACTAAAAGATAGACACTTTGGATAAAAAGAAATATAATTGTCTTTGTTCACAGATAACATGATTGTCTATGTAGAATATCTAAAAGAATCCACACCAAAAAAATCCTGGAACCTGTAAGCAAGTATAGCAAAGTTGCAGGATAGAAAATTGATATGCAAAAGCCAATTACTTTCCTATGTACCAGCAATGAACATGTGGAATTTGAAATTTAAAACACAATATCTGGCTCAGTGTCTGTAGTATAGTGGTTACGGTGCTAGCCACATACACCAAAGCTGGCAGGTTCGAACCTGGCCCAGGCCTGTTAAACAACAAAGACAACTACAACAACAACAAAAAATAGCCAGGTGTTGTGGCGGGCGCCTGTAGTCCCAGCTACTTGGGAGGCTGAAGCAAGAGAATCACTTAAGCTCAAGAGTTCGAAGTTGCCGTGAGCTGTGATGCCACAGCACCCTACCAAGGGCAGCATAGTGAGACTGTCTCAAAAAATAAATAAATCACCATACCAAAAAAAAAAACCCCACAATACTAATCACATTAACACCCCCCTCAAATTAAATACTTAGGTACAAGTCTAACAAAATATGTACAAGATCTATATGAACAAAACTCCCAAACTCTGATCAAAGAACTCAAAGAACTAAATAAATGGAGAGAGAATCCACATTCATGGGCATGAAAACTTAATACCATCAGTACATCAGTTCTTTCCAACTTGATCTATAGAATTACAGCAATTCTGATCAAACCCCAGGAAGTTATTTTGTGGATGTTGACAAACTGATTCTAATGGTTTTTTTTTGTTTGTTTGTTTGTTTTTGAGACAGAGCCTCAAGCTGTCACCCTGGGTAGAGTGCTGTGGCATTACAGCTCACAACAACCTCCAACTCCTGGGCTCAAGCGAGTCCCCCCTCCACCTCCCAAGTAGCTGGGACCACAGGTGCCCGCCACAACACCCGGCTATTTTTTGGTTGCAGCCGTCGTTGTTGTTTGGCGGGTCCGGGCTGGGGATTCGAACCCGCCACCTTAGGTGTATGTGGCTGGCACCTTAGCCGGTTGAGCTATAGGCGCCGAGCCCTGATTCTAATGTTTTTAAAGAGGCAGAAGACCTAGCTGCACAATACTGACGGAAAACAAAGTCAACTTGACTTTCCATAGTGCTTGCTTTGGCAGCATATATACTAAAATTGGAATGATGCAGAGAAGATTACTATGGCCCCTACGCAAAGATGGCACACAAATTCACGAAGCATTCCAAAAAAAAAGACTTTCCATAAAGCTACTGTAATCATAAGAGAGTAGTAATTAGTCAAGCCATGTGGGAAACAAAATAGAGGTTCTTCAAAAAAATTTAGAAATAAGCCAGGAATGATGGCCCATACCTGTAATCCCATTGCTTTGAAAGGATCACTTGAGGCCAAGAATTCTAGACCAGCCTGGGCAATATAGCAAGACCCTATCTCTACAAAAAAATATTTTTAAAAATTACTTGGGCATAGTGGTGCATAACTATACTCCCAGCTACTCACATGAGGCCAGGAGTTCGAGGTTGTAGGGAGCTATGATTGCACTACTGCCTTCCAGTGTGGGTGACAGAAGGACATCCTGTCCCTTAAAAAGAAATTTAAAAAAAGAACTACTATATGATCCAGGGATCCCACTACTGTGTATACCAAAGATTATGAAATCAGTACATCAAAGAGACACCTGCATTCCCATATTCACTGCAGCATTATTCTCAATAGCCAAAATATGGAATCAATCTAAGTGTGCATCGATGGATAAATGGATAAAGAAAATGTAGTATATATACGCAATGGAATACTAGTCATCCTTTAAAAAGGAAATCCTTTCATTTGCAACAACATGGATGAACCTGGAAGACATTATGTTAAGTGAAATAAGTCAAGCACGGGCCAAGTGCAGTGGCTCACTCCTGTAATCCTAGCAGATTGCAACTGCCTCCCTAGCAACTGCCTTAGGGGGCCAAGGCATTTGGATCACTTGAGCTCACAAATGCAAAACCAGCCTGAGCCATAGCAAGACACTATCCCTACTTAAAAAAAAAAAAAATTAGCTGGGTATCGTGGCGGTGCTGTGAGCTTTGACACCACAGCACTCAACCCCAGAGCAACTGAGTGAGACTCTATCTTAACAACAACAACAAAAAGACTCTACTATAATTCAGAAATAACAAAAAGTAAATAAACTTTATTTTATTAAAGGTGTGAGCCACTGCTCCTGTCCTAAACATCTAGTGCTATGTGTGTCTCACAGTTCTGGAGGCTAGAAAATCCAAGAGCATGGCATCGTCCTCTGTAAGATCCATCCTGCAGTATCATTTCACGACTAAAGGTAGAGGGGCCAAGGGACCAAACTTATCCTGCTCACCAGAAGCCCACTCCCACGATAATGGCATCAATCCATTCAACCCAAACAAAAAAGGTCCCACATCTTTTTTTATTTTTACATTTTGAAATAGGGTCTTACTCAGTTGCTTAGGCTAGAGTGCAGTGGCACAATCATAGCTCACTGCAGCTTCAAACTGCAGTGAGGAGGAACTCAAGTGATGCTCCTGCTTCAGCCTCCTGAGTAGCCCTGGGCCTACAGGTGTGCACCACCATGGCTGGGGAATTTTTGTATTCTTTGTAGAAAAGAGCTCTTGCTTTTGCTCAGGCTGGTCTTGAACTCCTTGCCTCAAGTGATTCTCCTCCCTCAGCCTCCCAGAGTACTAGGATTACAGGCCTGAGCCACTGAGTCCAGGCAGTTCAATCTCTTAATACCTTCAGAATAGCAATTAAACTTCTTCCTTCCTTAATTTCTTCCTTCTTTTTTTTTTTTTTTTTTTTTTTGAGACATAGTCTTGCTCTGTTGCCTAGGCTAGGCTACGGCCCCAGCCTAGCTTGCAGCAACCTCAAACTCACAGGCTCAACAGATCCTCCTGTCTCATCCTCTGCGCCACCATGCTCAGCTTATTATTCTATTTTTAGAAGAGATGGGGGTCTCACTTTGCTCAGGATGGTCTCAAACTTCTGACCTCAAAAGATTCTCCTGCCTCAGTCTTCCAGAGTGCTAGGATTACAGGCCACTTCTAGCCAGCAATTAAATTTCAACATGAGTTTTAACGGGTACGTTCAAATCATACTAGGCAAACTGGTTTATGTATATTTATTTTCATTCCTTCATGATCTGCAGCTCATCCAATCCAACTCCTAGCATTTTCCTTAATTCTAACAGATGAACAAAGCCAAAATTCACAATTCTATTGTAGTTATGGCTTAGGACCACCTACCTACTATTATTATTTGAGTTAGTCCATTGTGGAGTTTATAACCTAAAGCAGAAACTCAGGTTGTTGGAACATCATTTTCAGAAAAGATTGTTAGTATATAGTTTAGATTATCTGGCAGAAATCCCATTTGTTGTTTTGCTTTTTCTCAATAGCTACTATTCTTGTTTTTCATTTATAAATGTGCTTAATTTCACTTCAATGTAAGTTGCTTGTGGGTTGTTTAAATTTATACTGTACAATTTCACATATCTGTAATAACACTACTTTGGGCTCTTAGATTCTAACAATTAAGTCTTTAAGCTATACACACATTGCAACTCAAATATGAGTCACTCATAACCCAATCACTAAGAGACAAGAGAGAAAGGGAAATAACAGGCTTATCTTTTTTTTTTTTTTT